ACCAGCCTAGGCTGGTTGGCTGGTTTTAGCTGGTCGACCAGGCTGGTTTTAGAGGGGTTTTGGCCACTTCCTGGTTTCCAGCCATTTCCAGCCTGGTCTTAGCTGGTCAGGCTGGGAGATGACCAGCTAAATCCAGCTTGACCAGCCTAGCCAAGCTGGGAGTCCAGGCAAAACCAGCTATATCCAGCTTAAACCAGGCTGGTCAAGCTGGTTTTAGCTGGATTTGGCTGGTCATTTTCCAGCCTGACCAGCTAAGACCAGGCTGTAAATGGCTGGAAACCAGCCTGGAAATGGCCAAAACCCCTCTAAAACCAGACTGGTCAACCAGTTAAAACCAGCCAACCAGCCCAAGGCTGGTTTAAGCTGGATTTTTCAGCAGGGATGACTAACAAGTTACAAATGTCCAGCAGGGGGCACCAAAATTTAATCTCCGGCAGTATTGATATAATACATGCAGTCACAGCTGCCACAAGAGGGAGTTGTTGGGTGGTTCTAAGGGCCCACGCTGTTTTGGGGCCCCCTAGAGTTACTATTAGGGGGCCCAATCACCAACCCCACACAATCCCAACCCCTCACCCCTGCACTCTTCCCTTTTGTCAGCGATACACAACCCCCCATTCTCTTTCTTCTGTGATACGCAATAACATCTCCAGCATCCACCCCCCACCCCACCCCGCTTTTCAAAAATGTTGTCATAGGACCTGTACCGGCCAGTGGTGCCCCTGTGTGCAGTTTATTTGAAATCATAATGTTCTGTAATGCTTTTGATAGTGGTTTAACACCGTGTCCTAACTACATGTGTCACAACACACAATAAACGTTATTTATGTTAAAAGGAGGCTGTGTCGTAACCATCCATAATGTCAACGTGCAAAATTTCTATTTTAGAAATGCTCTTTATTTCCGTGACGTGACAGCAGAACAGCTGCAAAAACTACTATTACAGTAATCACCTCAGGTACTGATCATTGCCTTTTTTCAGTGCTCTCGATATGAGTTTAAATACAAATTTACGAGACATTTAAGACTCGTACAGACCGGGACGTTTTTTACACTTGTGTTTATTGTCAGTGTTTTTTAAGACGTTATTGAGGTGGTTTTTTTTTAAATGACGCTTTTACGCCGGGCGTTTTGCACATTGGTGTCCACGATCACATTGACTTCTTTTATTTAGTAACGAGGCGTTAAATGTCAACGGAAAATGCAAGCAAAAAAACGTCTTGTTGAGCACGGGCCTTTATTGTCAAAGTAACGAAAGCAGCAGCAGATAGTTAACCTCAAATCTTGAAAACAAAATAACTAGCAAACGTTTCGAAAGTGAAAGTAAAATTCAGTGCAAACCAACAACATCAGTCACTCAGAAGCCTGTTAATAATGCTAAAGTGGTTTAAGTAGATTAAATCAGTATCGATTGGTACCGAACTCGATACTTTTGGCAACGCTACTTTTTACTGGTACTTTGAGTCGTGTTTACAACATATACTTGTACATTTGTTGGTATGCAATGGTATTTGTATCCGAGTATAATTTTTCAGTACTCTTTCCTCCACTGCTAGAAACCTTTGGAAAACATGGCGACTTGTTAAAATCCACCCAGAACATGCTAATAACTGCGTAGCAATTGAGTACAAACCACTGTGGGTCAAAAACTTGCAGCTGAAATTGGTTCTTAAAGCCATTGCTGTGCATCACAAGTGCGTCTGCTCTCATATAAAGCAGGCGGAACCATTACAACACCCCTGAGGTCGAACAAATGTAAATAGTCAGCGTTTGGCTTCAGCCCGTCAATCACACACAAAGGAAATTGGTTTATGTATGAACAAGTGGCGGAAATGTCATCCTCTTACTTAAGGGCAGGGTGTCACTCTCTCCTGCTCTTCTGCTGCGTAACGCACTGGATATCAGTGCACGGCGGCGGCGGCGGATAAACAATGTCCACACCTGCGGAGTCAATAACGGAGAAACGACTCTCTCAGGATCTCAGACGCGCGAGGATGTAGGAGACAATGGAGTTGGCAGGGGGTTGAGGATGAGCGGGCTTTATATTCAGCCTGTAATAACGCAGCATCAGGCAGGTGTGTGTGAGTCATGCACATCCATCCATCAGACGGAGAAACACCACGCGCCTCCATCAAGACAAGTGTCTGTCATGAGCACTCGCATGAGGGAAGAGGATTATTGGGGGACAGACTCACGGTAATCCACTCGGTATATGACTCAAGAAAAGCCTAATTCTTAAATTAATATTACTAAAAACATATTTGTTTCATATAAAGAGTGTAAAGTAGAGCTAGATCTGTGCCTGTGCGTGTTTATATGCAGGCATAATGTAGCCTGGTGGTTCTGGTCACATGACATGCATTTAAGACTGAGCTATCAGCCATGAAGTATATCAGAGGAGCTACCAGTCATTTAGGGCGGAGCTATCAGTCATTTGGACGGGGCTATCAGTGCTTTGGGGCGGACCTGTTAGTGTTTTAGGGGCGGGGCTATCAGTGCTTTAGAGTGGCACTATCAGTCCTTTCCGGTGGGCTTATCATTCATTTGGGATGGGGCTATCATTTCTTTTGGGTGGGACTATCAGTAGTTTAGGGTGGGACTATCAGTCATTTAGGGTGGGACTATCAGTCATTTAGGCCAGGGCTATCAGTTCTTTAGGTTGGGACAATTAGTGCATTAGGGTGGGGCTATCAGTCCTTTGGGATGTTAGGGTGGGACTATCAGTGCTTTAGGGCAGAGCTATTAGTCCCTTTAGGGCGGAGCTATCAGTTATTTAAGGCGGGGCTATCAGTCCATTAGGGTGGGGCTATCATTCATTTAGGGCGAAGCTATCAGTAAATTGGTGTTTTAGGGGCGGGACAATCAATGCTTTAGAATGGGGCTATCAGTCATTTAGGGTGGGGCTATCAGTCATTTAGGGTGGGGCTATAAGTTCTTTAGAGTGGGACTATCAGTCATTTAGGCCAGGGCTATCAGTTCTTTAGGTTGGAACTATTAGCGCATTAGGGTGGGGCTATCAGTCCTTTGGGATGTTAGGGTGGGACTATTAGTGCTTTAGGGCAGAGCTATTAGTCCTTTAGGGCGGAGCTATCAGTTATTAAAGGTAAGGCTATCATTTATTTAAGTCATTTAAGGCAGGGCTATCAGTCCATTAGGGTGGGGCTATCATTCATTTAGGGCGGAGCTATCAGTAAATTGGTGTTTTAGGCTGTCAGTGTTTTAGGGGCGGGACAATCAGTGCTTTGAAGTGGGGCTATCAGTGCTTTCCGGTGGGCTTACTAATCATTTGGGATGGGGCTATCAATCTTTTAGGGTGGGGCTATCAGTCCTTTAGGGTGAGGCTATTAGTTCTTTCGGGTGGGACTATTAGTGCATTAGGGTGGGGCTATCAGTCCTTTGGGACGTTAGGGTGGGACTATCAGTGCTTTAGGGCGGAGCTATTAGTCCTTTAGGGCAGAGCTATCAGGACTTTAGGGTGGGATTATCAGTACTTTAGGGTGGAACTATTATTCCTTTAGGGTGAGGCTATCAATCTTTTAAGGCAAAGCTAATAGTCCTATAGGACGGGACTATCAGTTTTTTTAGGGTGGAGCTATAAGTCCTTAGGTTGGTGGGGTTATCAGTCCTTTAGGGTGGGGCTATCAATCCTTTAAGGCGGAGCTATCAGTCATTTAAAGCGGAAGTATCAGTAATTTGGGTGGCGCTATCAGTGGGTGGCACTATCAGTTCTTTCGGGTGGGCTTTCAGTCCTTTAGGGAGGAGCATTTCGTTTTTTAGGGTGGGGCTATCAGTAATTTGGGTGGGGCAGTCAGTCCTTTGGAGCGAAGCAATTAGTCCTTTAGGGCGGAGCTATCCGTCATTTAGGGTGGGACTATCATTAATTTAAGGCAGGGCTATCAGTCCTTTAGGGTGGGGCTATCATTTATGTAGGGCGGAGCTATCAGTATATTAGGGTTTGGCTATCAGTCCATTAAGCTGCGGTCACACTAGAGGTTATGTGTGCAAAATTCTGTGTGTATGAATTGAAGTCTATAGGGAGAAAAGCTCAGTGTGACCGCAGCTTCAGAGCGAGACGATCAGTCCTTTAGTGTGGAGCTATCAGTCATTTAGGGTGTGGATATCATTCATTTAGGGCGGTGCTATAAGGGCTTTATGGTGGGACTATCAGTTCTTTAGGGTGGAGCTATTGGTCCTTTAGCGTGGCGCTATCAGGGCTTTAAAGCAGAGCTATTAGTCATCTAGGGTAGGGACATCAGTCCTTTAGGGTGGGACTATCAGTCATTTACAGCAGAGGTATCAGTAATTTGGGCGGGGCTATCAGTGCGCGGTTCTGTCAGTTTTTTAGGGCAGAGCTATAAGTCCTTTATGGTGGAGCTATCAGTGCTTAAGGGAGGGGCTATTAGTCTTTTAGGATGGAGCTATGAGTAATTTGGGCAGGGCTATCAGTCCTTCAGGGTGGGACTATCAGTGCTTTAGGGTAGGGCTATTATTAATTTAGGACAGAACTATCAGTCCTTTAGGGTGGGGCTATCATTAGGGCGGAGCTATCAGTCTTTTAGGGTTTGGCTATCAGTCATTAAGGGTGGGGTGTTAGTTATGTGGGTGGGGCTAATAGTTATTTAGAGCAGAGATATTAGTAATTTAGGGCAGGACTTCCAGTCCATTAGGGCAAGGCTATCAGTCCGTTAGGGTGGGGCTAACACTCATATAGAGCAGAGATATCAGTCCTTTATGACGATTTTTTCAAAAGTACTGATTATTCCACCCTAAGTTGTAAAATAAGAAGAAAATGTCTGGTAGTAAAGAAGAAGTGAGACAGAGCTGCGAGCGAGGACACTGGAGACCCAATGATTGGCATTTCAAACACCGCATCAAGCGCTGACATCCACGTTCACATGAGAATAACACCAGCGCCGGCTGCTTTTAAACACCGAGCGTATCTTTGGCAGGAGCAGAAGTTTCTTTGGCGTGGAGTGCTGCTAATGTGTAATGAGTCACACCTGTTTAGGATTCTCCACCGCCGATAAATGAGGCTGGAACGTGCTCCGTCTATCTGTGATGCTCTCGCCGTGTTTAATCAGTGGCAACTCTTCATCTACAACACAAACAAACAACAAAAGCACACGAATCAGGACTTTGAAGGATTGGAGAGACGCTAATTACTAATTAACCGCGATTGCTTTGCACAAGAGACGCTTGTCAGAGGTACTTTGAAGTCAAAATACAGCCTATTGACTTTCTCAAAGCTCAACTTTTTTTCTGATAAAACACCACTTTTTTACGCAAGGGAAATAACTGATTAGTAGTGCTGGGCGATATAACAAAAAAACCTTACAAATCACAATATACAAGTAATCTCACATCCTGATAACAATATCACGATTTAAAACCTTTTCTGTAAACTTAATATACATATACACTCATAAACATGGTCAGCAGCAATACTCAGGTAGGCCGTGGTGTTGACACGATGCTCAGTTGATACTAATGGGCCCAAAGTGAGCCAAGAAAATCTCCCCCACACCATTACACCACCACCACCAGCCTGAACCACTTATACAAGGCAGGATAGATCCATGCTTTCATGGTGTTGACACCAAATTCTGACCCGACCATCCGAATGTGGCAGCAGAAATGGAGACACATCAGAGCAGGCAACATTGCTCCAATCTTCTACTGTCCAGTTTTGGTGAGCCTGTGTGAATTGTAGCCTCAGTTTCCTGTTCTTAGCTGACAGGACCATGTCTACATGCCTAAATGCATAGAGTTGCTGCCATGTGATTGGCTGATTAGAAATTTGCATTAACGAGCAGTTGGACAGGTGTACCTAATAAAGTGACTGGTGAGTGTATATATAGACCACATGGAACGGACTATTCATATACTCATGTGTTGATTTCACTTTGTTTTGAAATTCCTGACAAAAGTTTGAGCCACTTTTGACTTTTTTTACTATCAAAAATCCAACGGTGTGGTCTTCTGCTGCTGTAGCCCATCTGCCTCAAGGCTTATTTGAGTTCATTCATTCATTTTCTTGTCGGCTTAGTCCCTTTATTAATCCGGGGTACCCACAGCGGAATGAACCGCCAACTTATCCAGCAAGTTTTTACGTAGCGGATGCCCTTCCAGTCACAACCCATCTCTGGAAAAAATCCACACACACATTCATACACACACTCATACACTACGGACGATTTAGCCTACCCAATTCACCTGTACCGCATGTCTTTGGACTGTGGGGGAAACCGGAGCACCCGGAGGAAGCCCATGGAAGGCAGGGAGAACATGCAAACTCCACACAGAAACGCCAACTGACCCAGCTGAGGTTCGAACCAGCGACCTTCTTGCTGTGAGGCGACAGCACTACCTACTTTTTGAGTTACTGTTGCCTTTCTATCAGCTTGAACCAGTCTGGCCATTCTCCTCTGACCTCTGGGATCAACAAGGGCTTTTAGTCTTTGATCCTAATTGTGGTGTTTTGGTTACTGTCGCTTTAAATTTAAATGAGATTTTGCTTTTGCTCATTTCAAAAGAGGGCGGAGCTACAAATGCATGTGTGTCAGCATAGTGGCAGATTCAAAACTCTAATGGCGGCTTCACACTCAGGGCTGTTTATGCTAATGAGGGAGAGATGGTGACTAGTGGGCGGGGCTTTCCCCCTCTGATGACACGTACAAATGGAGAATGTCAATCAAAGTGTTTCTGCAGACTGTTTAAATCCAGTCTGATTATACTGAATAGAAATAATTCATGTTTACCATTTGAAGCTGGTTATATTCACACACTGCAGACACACAACTGTGTTTAAGCCCCTTATAAAAGTGATTTTTGCATAATAGGCCCCCTTTCATAGCTTTCTGGGAATGAATGTTTGGTCAAAAAGGTTATATAATACAGTTTTGGCAAAAATAACAACATACCATCACATTACTATCATTAAAAAGTAACCTAAGTACCGAATTTAGTTACTTTCTTTTTAAAAAAAGTTACTTTAGAATGTAATATATTAAAACAACACACCATCTGAAGCGGGAGAGAAGATCTGCTCTGATTGGCTGGAGAGTTTCAGCACACTGATGTCTGGAAGATCATCTTCATCACAGTCGTGTCCTCCTTCCTCCGTCATCACGGTTTTACATGTGTCTGGTCCGTCTAAAAGAACAGAAAGATAGTCTCAGACTGAGGAGGAACAGCGTAAACTAATAATTTAACAGACCATTGCATTCAATCAGTCAATCGGAGTTTAAAAGGATGTGAAGGACGCGCTAAAAAAAGGTGTACTCTGGGAATAACGTTTAATGACTAAAATAAAGATGTGATGTGAATAAAGCAAGGTCAGTGATGACTTTCCTTTCTAAACTTTTTTCCTGACGTTTTAAAAAAAAAGTTGCCAGCTGCCGTCAGCTGTTGTTGATTTTCACCTAAATTTGACAGCATTCAGAATACTTCCTGCTAGCAATATATTAGTTCAAGTGAATCTCAGCATCTTACAGTATATATCAAAATAGAGATCCAAGCCTCAACTTTAAAACAAAGAACAATTTTGTTCTATCTTCATGTGTTCATTTATCCACACTTGAACGCAGGCATCCAAAATGCAACATCATGTATTTTCAAGTTATGTAATATACAACACCAACACACACACAGGGGTGTAGATTTGACGTGTCCCCACCAATATCCACCAATTACTAAAATGTCCCAACCAATAATTGAATCGACTTCAAAATAAAGTAACGCTTCGTCAAGCCTTAGTAACCTACAGGTGCACAAGGTCAAGTTTGCTTACTGTAATACTGTTAACCAAAGCTGTGCAGTTAATGGAAATTTGGTTTTGATTTTGGCCTCCGTGATTATGAGTAACAATAATCGAGATAAAAGAGTTCAGTTGTGTCACACATCTCTCTAAATTTCTCTACATTCATACCTCCTCTAAGCCCGCTTGCAGTAAAATCATGTAAGTTGACTTTTGCAGCATGGTGCGTGATTGTCATTTGTATTATTAAGTGTTTATTTTATATCATTAAGCACTTTCTTCATGTTTTTTTAAAAGCACAACATAGAATTTGTGCTGTTCAATGCAGCTCTAGGGATGTATGTCCACCCCAATGTCAAGAGCAAATATACACCCTTACACACACATACATTTAAGCCTTTCACTGCATATCATACTGTGTATGTGACAAATAAAATGTCAATTTGATTTATATAAAATATATAATTGAACCTGGTGGTGATGTTTGGTAATGCACCCAAACAAAATCTTACCGAAAGCCTGTTTTTTTTTTGATATAAAAAAAAAAAAAAAAAAAAATTATATATATATATATATATATATATATATATATATATATATATATATATATATATATACATATACATACACACACACATACATACATATACACACACACACATACATATATATTTATATATATATATATATATATATATATATATATATATACATATATACACACACACACACACACATATATATATATATACATACATATATATATATATATATATATATATATATATACACACACATATATATATATATATATATATATATAAATATATATATATATATATATATATATACATACAACAACTCTTTCTGGTTTTTGAATCTGATTGGCTGATAGCCGTGCGATATTTTGCCAGTACCATCACACAAAGGCCTCTTCACCCTTCACCTCTGTGTATTACTCCGCCCACATGCTGCAAGCAACAAGCAGAGACACTACAGTTTGACAAATATTACTGTTGTTACACAACAAAATGTACTTTTGAGGCTTTTTTGTCGAGAATACAGTTGTTTAGATTGCAACTATGCAGTTTATTTGTAGGTATAGTGCCTATTTTAAAATATTTACAATTTCTGAGAGCTTGTCAGCGGACAAAGTTTGTTAGCATTGACTATCCACAATATGGCGCCAGAACTGCATAATAAGCCCATGCTCAGTGTGTTCTCTTAAGCGTGAATAAAAAGCTGATAAACGGAAGCCTCGTGGTTTTTAAGGTGGACCAGATAGAGTCAATAAGAAGCTGCGAATGAGAAGCTGGATTCAGCCTTGTCCCTCCTTATCGCAAACGCAACAGCAGTCTGGTGAGAAATCTCTGTAGCCTGATGGCATTTCACGTCACATTCAGCCTTATAATCTTAAAATGTGAGCAAAATTTGCTGTTTTTATCATCACCTTAAGGGGGTCACACACCAGAAGCGCCGATTCACATTACGCTATAGAGAATCATTCAAACGCTAGCTCTAAAGTGACGTTAGTGAATTAGTAACGGCTTCTGCTGTTCTGGTGTCAGCTGCAGATGTGAATGAATGACGGAAGAATGTAGTTCCTAATACAAAAGAGTTTGATTTTGTGTTTGATTTTCTTTTTTATTTACAAGATTGTGCCGTCGAACTGTTGAATAAGCGCATTAGCTCACATGTAGCATTGTGCTATGGCTGTATATCAGCACTAGTTGGACGCTAACGCACTCCTCCCACCAATATATATATATATATATGTATTTGTGTTATTTGTGCTCTGTTTCTCTGTGCCCCCCCCCCCTCGCTCTGTTCTCGCATATCTGCTTTCATGTATTCTCAGGTTCCGTTCATTGGTCCATTCAGCTGTCAATCATTCCTCCCCGGTTACGTCACTCTTACGTCACATCCAATAAGCAAAGACCACCCGTACTAAAAGAGCGCGCCAGACCACTCGCCTTCCTTGATTTTTCTCTTTCTCTGCTTTTGTCGCTTGTTTTATCGCATGCGTTTAGAAATAACCTGTCTAACTGTGTTTTTGTTGTTGCTCGTTTCTGTGTGCACGTTATCCGTCCGTTATTCGTACATCATTCTTAGTTTACGTTGTTTACGAGGCTTGGACGAAGCGGACAGGTAAGAAGGTCACGTGACATATTGCAACACATAGGACTACTCTGCTGTTTAGTACACTAGGTTAGGGGCGAGCGCCACTTCTTGTACTTTTTGGATAGATAGAGTAGATAGTAAGGACTCGGAAGATCTTCGCGTGTTAATTATACTGTTTTTTCACATAGTTAGTTAGCTAGATGCTTCTGGGAAGTTAGATTTAGTTTGGGTTTTTGTTCTTTTCATTTCTTTAGCGCCGCCCGCGTCCCTTCTGCCAGCTCTGATGTTTTTTCCCGTCTTTATTTGTCTCAGTATTGTATATATTGTAAATAGTATATTTTTGCCTCACTTACTTTTTCTTTATTTTTGATTAATTCGTTGTTGTTCACTTTTGGAAATTGTAAATAAAAGCACATATTTTTGCCATTATTTTGATTGTCTTTTGCACTCATTCGCTGTTTATATAAATATATTTTAATTAATCAAATGTCAAACCCCACAAGCTTAGACTAACATAAGGGGTTTGTAACAATATATATATATAAATATATATATATATATATATATATATATATAAATATATATATATATATATATATATATATATATATATATATATATATATATATATATATATATATATATATATATATATATATATATATATATATATATATATATATATATATATATATATATATATATATATATATATATATATATATATATATATATATATATATATATATATATATATATATATATATATATATATATATATATATATATATATATATATATATATATATATATATATATATATATATATATATATATATATATATATATATATATATATATATATATATATATATATATATATATATATATATATATATATATATATATATATATATATATATATATATATATATATATATATATATATATATATATATATATATATATATATATATATATATATATATATATATATATATATATATATATATATATATATATATATATATATATATATATATATATATATATATATATATATATATATATATATATATATATATATATATATATATATATATATATATAT